CTGGATGATGAGATACCAAGTAGCTGTGAATATCAAAGTGAACAGGAATGTATCAAACAGATGACATAACGTCTTCGATGCCCAATAGGCGAGGACAGAAGTACCAGCGGAAGCATCTCGCTCAAAGGCCAGGAACTCAAAGCTGTAAACCTGTAAGCAGCCAGCACCGATCATGATGGCGAAGAACATCAAACCCATCATGTTGTTGTTAGCCATCATATCATATCCATTCGTTCGCTGCACTGTCGTACCAATGATAACAGCAGCCAAAAAGTTAAGACAAAGATCGAGGAAAACTTGACCGAGCGAAATGAGAGCCACGTTGCGAGATAAGAAGTGACCCAACTGTTCACCAACATTGGCGATTTGCCGGTTTTTTAACCGACTGAGATCAGGCAAGACCTGCCGACTTTCGAGTTGGACTTGTTCTGAGGCGCCTCCATGTATCATTTTAGCGAAGCTCTCACAAGTAACTTCCCCTTGCTCGGCCTTCAACACTCTGTACAGCTCCTTTGCCTCAGACATGTCACACTCAATCTCAAACAGCCTCGCCAAGCGATACATTTGCTGAGGTGTGAGGTCACTATCGGGCTCAGCATCCAACAGTTCGCATAGTTTATTGGTCAGCTCATCCTCGGTGTGGAAGACTCCACTATCTTCTGAATTGGTGGCGCCCAGAGAGCGTACTGATACCGTTCGGGAAAACCTCGGTACAGGCCGAGAGACCTGCGACTCCTCAGCCTTCTGTTGCTCCCGATAGTTGGTCCAATAATCAAATAGATCTTCCTTCTGGAAGCTCCTATCGACCGAGCCATCGGGTTGATAATGATCAACTGCACCCGAGATGATATCGATGAACCAATCGGCGACGTTCTCTCCCCTGGGGATGCGAAAACCATGACTAACGAAGTAGTCCTCAACCTGACTAGTTTTACCAATATACACGGTCTTGCCACCCTTGCCAAGTAGTAGGCAATGGGTAAACTGTTTAAAGATAGCGTAGCGTGGTTGGTGGATTACACAAACGACAGTGATACCCAAAGTCCTCATTCTTGCCAAACACTTAGTAACGGCCATACTGGCAGCAGAATCCAAACCAGAGGTCGGCTCATCTAAGAATAATACACGAGGATAAGCCACCAACTCGATACCAATATTAACACGCTTTTTCTGACCACCAGAAATTCCCCTCCTTCCAGGCGACCCCACAATGGTATGTCGGACTTGCTCGAGATCCAAAACTTGAATGACATCCTCGATGATCTTCAACTTCTTCTCACGGGGCATATCTTCTGGCAAGCGGACCATAGCAGAATAATAGAGATTTTGATACACAGTGAGACGGTCAAACATAATATCATCTTGTGGTACAAAGCCAACCTGTTTTGGATACTCTCCGAAGTTTCCTTCAAAACCATTAACCCAAACCTTCCCCGTCACATCTCCATATGGCGCTCGATTGGACAACGCATTCATGAAGGTCGTCTTACCGCCTCCTGAGGGTCCCATCACTGCCGTTAGTGAGCCTGCTGGAAATTCACCCGTAACATCATGGAGAATCTCCCTTCGAGTTCCCCACTTGAGAGTCATCGATAAATGCTCAAACCGAATGTCCACAGGAGTGTATTTGATATCATTAGTAAATCCTTGCATCCTCTGGGACTGCAAATATACTCCAGTGAGAGCCTGGACTACACTATTATAGATTTCCGTCGTCCGCTGATGAACTGTTCCTTGTGAAGTGGCCTTCCTCTCCTTCTGACGACGATAAAGCCACAGCCATATACTCAACGCTGCAACGATAATGCCGATGACCACGATAATGAATATAGCTCCCCAAGTAGGAATCTGGTTAGTTGCTCCCCGTGGGCACTGGGAGTACCAAGGGCAGGACTCAGGCTTCGCAAAGCCTTGTTTACAGAAATATCCCTCCGGACAAGGAATAGGACCGGACGTGCCACCCAGGGGACAGTAATATCCAGGTGGACAGACCGAGCTCGTGCCGTTAGCGCAGTAGTATCCTTTTTTCACCACATCCGCTCCGCAACTTAGGCAAACTCCGGCTTGATTGGACTGCTCGAAAATGGAGCCTTCGGCACAATACTCAGGATTGCTGCATTTGCCACCAATAGGGCAGTACCCGCCGTTAGACATACTTGAATTGTAGGTATATTCGGACAATGATATAGATAAGGAAAACGCGGTGGAGAAAATCTCAACTGATAAAGAGAAGATTCAAACCGAGTCCTGCATGTATCCCCTAAAGAACATTCCCTGTTCACATGAAAAGCCAATCGCGAGTGACTTCTGCAGATCCCCGTTGAAGAATCGTCAGACGGCATCATCGGGGAAGTGAGGCTCGGACTCCGAACGCGAAAACTCTATCGATCACTATGGCGCGCGCTACTTAGTGTGTTAGATGAAACTCCGATGGTGTTGCTGTATTAGCGAGAGCGGCTGGGTGAATAAAGCTAAGGAGCGACCACCGGGAAGCGGCACGACAGCGCCTTACAATGCCACCGTACTTGCCGCGAGAGAACTGAATCCTAATAAACCAATATCAACTGGCTCAACGTAAAGACGAGCCTTAGTAGTTTCAAGCTACTAGCCTGAGCATAGTGATCGGGGGTCCTAATATGGTGGTTCAAGAACTGAAAGCAGTCAAACTAGTCGAAATCGGTAAGGCTAGTGCAGACGAGAACCAGTAGTTCTAACAGAGCCAACTAGAACAAGGAGTTCCGAGTACTTCAGCTATAGCCACGTAGAAGTAGTTCAATAATTCTTTTTAGGCCCAATGACGGCAGTAGTTCAATATTAGCCGTTTCAAAAAATGAAAGTGTTCGAGGTACATCCGCCAAAGGAGCTCCCCATGCTCAGAGAGGCACGACGGTGACGTGTAGACAGACTAACGAAAACACACTCAACAGCCAATTTCTGAATCCTGAGTCCAGATTTCCACAAATTTTTCAAGGCAAGCGAGTTTCCAGGAAATTCGAAGGGTTCTTAGGCCAAGTTAGTGTCTAGATGACTCCATTTTTGAGACTCACATGCACGGGTACACGTCGTGAGGTCGTCGTTACATGAACTCAACTAGTCTCATATGACGTTAGAGACTTGAATATTTGAATTTCGTTAGCTCATGTCGTCTCCAGTTCTTCTATTCGATGGGGCTCCAGCAGCGAGACTACAAAAAAATTATGTCATGACAACTCTCAAAGAGGCTTTTCGCATTCACAAATCCCAATCATGCAGTTGACAGCGATTCGGCTGTCGGGAAGTTGTTGAATAAATTGGTCACCAGTTCAGTCTCATGTGTTGCACTAATTTCCTTCAACTGCATGTTAACCTGTTGCTTCTTGAGCTGTCTATAATGCTCATTCTGTCGGGACTCTGAATCCTCCCACTCGTAGTATCTAATTGTAGCGACAACGATGAACACGAGGTAAGGGTGGATCTCTACGCATTCAATCCTGGTTCCACCGAAACTCCAGCATACACCGACTCGTGATAGTTCAAATACCTACATAGATTGAGGAGAGCTACTCGATGTCTTCAACTGATTGCTTACTCTCTGAAAGCAGCGAATGAGAGACTTGCTTGTTCTCCACCACATCCTGCAACGGTGCCCTCCTGTGCATTCAGATTACCCCAGAGGCCGTCGAGGCACTGCTGGAGTCGATGATCAACGGTACTATGGTACTGAGATACAAATGCACAGCCAATTCCATCGCTAAGTCACAATCAACGAAACCTGAGACCTCATTCCTCAGCAGTTTCATCCGTTACCTCGATAAATGCAATTTTCTGTTGATACTGTTTGTCTTTTTTCTCCTTCTCTTGTTTGGCAGAGAACTTTTCATGAACGATTTCCTCTCGAGCTTCGTATCTGGTTAAACAAAGATAGCACAGCGAAGAGACAAGAAGAGAAATTCCTACTCGATAAAAGCGTCAGTATTTGCCAAAAAGCCTATCACCGTACCAAACGCTCTTGTATGCTCTAGCACATGCGGAAGCACAATGCCTGATAATCGGGTAATCATCACTCTCCAGAAATCATCAAGGAGGAACTCACGGCCTTCCGGGTTGGACTCGTTGTCGGCTACCACGAGAAGATCGTAGATTTCTGATACCAGTGTTTCCACTGGTGGCGGTCCGTTGGGTCCACAAATCCCAGGCATTGAATCTGACGAGCACATCCCGATGCAGCTACGGGTTATGGAGGCCTCACCGACAACATTGAGAATGGCTTGAGCTAGTTCAGAGAGGTCCTCTCTATCGATCCATCCCCGTCCTCGCCAGTCCAATATACGCCAGAAATATTTCGCACCTTGGACTGTATCACGATTCTCCCAGGCTATACAGAAGTCCAGAAAAGTTCCTAAACAAAACACTCGTATTATGATAATCAGGTTGGAACGAACAGCGTACTGTAGTCCATTATACGCTGCACTGGATTATATCGCTTTACCAATCTAGACGTGAATAGAGGGTTCATATATCCTCGGTTGAAGATGTTAAGGCCCTGGCCATCATTCGCAATCGTATCGACTGGAGCCGTCCCGAAGACGAAGAATGAATCATAATAAGATATGCTACCTAAAGTTAATGAAGATCCATAGGGAAATCGATGGACGAGGACCCACGAAATCGGGAGAACAGGTTGTTGGTCATGTCTTCGACATATACTCGCCGAAGCGCCATCAGCGGGTCGACAATCAGTTCGATACCCTTCTCGGAGAGAATCCGTTCTATCGCTGATATAGACAACTGATGAGCTCTCCATATGAACACGTACGCCCTACAAATTCTTGGTCCATCCTTGCCTCCAGCAGCCGAGCCACTTCCCAAGAGAAACCCTATGGTGTGAGCCGCTGTGAAAACCCAGAGAGGGAGGAATTGCTCTGGTGTCTTACGAACTTGCGGCTGAACAAACGGAGATAACACTTATGATAAAACAGCGAGAATTCACGTGATTCTGAATTTGATGAATGATGAATTTTCAATGTATTTGATTGACACTGAATCAGATTCACGTGATCCGATTCACAAACTCGTACTGATGAAACTGAACTGTCACTCCAACATTAATCGCGTGAACGAGAGCGATCCTCGATAGATCTCACAATAGTGTGTAGCTTTCGAACAAGCAAGAATAGCCCCAAAAATTCTATGCCTATGGTGAAGATGGTGCAGACTTTCATACCAGATGCTTCGAAACCTCAAACAGCCAATCCTCTAGCGCATCGCCGGTGAGATATCCTCTCCCATCGACATCGTGGCGATGTAAGGATGTCAATACATTGTACAAATTGGCCATCCTACAGGCATATGATAGTCTGAGGGGTAACAGAGTAAATCATGGAGGCCTCTCGCAGCCATCAGAGACAGGATAGTGAACGAACAGCGCGGCGTTATACCCACTGAGCGGTACTCGTACAGACACTAACCCGTTTACTGCACCGAGCGAAGTAGATTGACCTACAGCCGCATGCCAGATATCGTCCCTTCTCCAACTGCACTCTGCGGTAATTGAAGAAATACCACTGGTGTCAGCAGCTGGCGAACTCGGTCTCTGATACGAATTCATACGCAGTCTCTATATGCTCACACAATTGGTCAGCAAGACCGTACAGAGCTTATCTCGCGGTTTCAAGCAATCTTAGCTACTTAGTTCGAAAAGTACTGTGTAGGCTAACTGCTAGGTCACGCAGAGAGATCACAACTCGAAACAGCGAGTTGAAGGACCATCCCACGAAATGTCTCGTAATCTGTTGACATCGAGAATGTTACTAGGGAGGCTTACGATAATCGCTGATCATCAATGACCTTCCGATAGTCATCGTAGGTCAAAATTAGGTCCGTCGCCCAGGACCCATTAGGAGTATTCTCGACAGTTCCCACCTCCTTCACAATGAGCATCAGTGTTACCTTACATACAGCGACGCACATTGAGACCCATATCGAGCCCATGTGCAACAGGGGAGTATAATGCGTCTCCGCTCCTACCAGGTCGTCGCGCGTCGGGTTCTTCTCCGCTGCTCCCTGGGCGCATCGATAGGTCTCCTCTTGTCTCAACTGACAATGGGAGAAGACCCATGAGAGCTCAGGATATACTCATAAATCGGTGCTCGAGTAACAGTACGAGACTTTCGAGCGACCTCTATTCCGATCTTACTAGCTGCTCTTGGGGAGTCTCAACAATGTAGAATCGCGGGATCACATCTTCCGAGGCAGCTGCCCCTGCCGTGATAGGCATTCACAAATGAATAATGAGCTAGCAGCAAGTACGGTATCATCTACAAGCAGCCATCCAACTAGCATATTCCGTCAATCAGCTAGTCATATGCTAACCGCGGATCAAATGAGAATTTCACATTCGCAAAAAATAAGAACCACAATTTCATGAGTGAGGGAATAAATTTCGCCGATAAGGACACCAACTTTGGAGGACAGCCGGGGCTCCCCATATTGGTGACAATAACTTGCGGAACTCCAACGCAGCCTGATTGTTGCCGCCTCATGAAGGCGATAAATCTTGTGAATGAGAGTGAGTATCTTGTATTGCCATGATGATTTAAATGCTAGCTATGGCATATCTGCCCCAAGCGGAATTGACTCCACTGACAGAGAAAATGATTCTCATAAGTCGTCCAAGTTGAATTTACTTCGGTCCTGGAGAGCAATTTGATCTTCCTATCGCGCGCCCCGCAAAAACTGTACTAAGGCATATCTTGAGGCTGTGGCATAGGCGCCCCGCCCGCTGGAACTAATTGTAGCAAGGCATATCTTGAGGCTGTGGCATAGGCGCCCCGCCCGCTGGAACTGATTGTACCACGGCATATCTTGGGGTTGTGGCACAGGTGTCCACATGAAAATGATTGTAGTAAGCTATACCGTGAGGCTGTGGCATAGCTGTCCCGTCCAATGGAACTCATTGTACTAAGGCACATCTTGGAGTAGTGGCATAGGCGCCCCACCAAACGAAATTAATTGTACTAAAGCATATCTTGGGACTGTAAAATCGGCGCCTCGCCTGATGAAATTGACTAAGGCGTATCTTGAGGCTGTGGCATAGGTGTCCCGCCCGATGAAGCTAATTGCACTGAGGCATATCTTGAGGCTGTGGCATAGGTGTCCTCCCGATGGAGCTAATTGTAGTAAAGCATATCTTGGGGCTGTGGCATAGGTGTCCCCCCAATGGAACTGATTGTACTAAAGCATATCTTGGGGCTGTGGCATAGGTGTCCCCCCAATGGAACTGATTGTACTAAAGCATATCTTGGGGCTGTGGCATAGGTGTCCCCCCAATGGAACTGATTGTACTAAAGCATATCTTGGGGCTGTGGCATAGGTGTCCTCCCGATGGGACTGCTTGTACTAAAGCATATCTTGGGGCTGTGGCATAGGAGCCCCACCCAAGGACACTAACTTCACTAAGAAAAAGAAGACCTTCAAGTTGTGTAATACTCTCAGCAGAGCTCATCATCCGACATGTCCTCCTCCCCCTCCATAAAGGTGAAGGCTCTTGCAAGGCCGAAATCCAGTGGTTAACGATGATAGGATGGAACTACTCACTCAGGCACACTAAACAAGCTGAACAAATGCAGGTGCTAGACAACAGAACGTTCATTCTCCCAACTACTTTCGGCTGGATGTTCAATTCACGTTCGACGATGCGCTAACATTGTTGGAGGCCTTCCCGGTCCGACATTGCACACTACAGACATTTCCTTAATTGGCCCGTTTGTCTTCTACACCCCCAAACATATCCCATGATATGGTGACAACTCTGACACATGCCCCAGTGAGCATCCCTGGGAAATTATTGCCCCGAGATGTTCGTAGTCAATAATATTAACACAAAAATACACATTAGTAATGCGGCAGTACCCAAAATTAACAGTCACAGCCATCGTCAATGACCTTTCTCCCCTCCGAAGGGCGGTCGCTGCTACTAGTGATCCACGACCACGCTACTGCGCTTACCCAGACGAATACTCATAGACGTCAGCGAATGTTGAGTGTCTCGGATCCGTGAGTGAGTTCGCAGTACAATCATCAGACTCGATGGAATCGAACAACAAGATCATGGGATGAAATACTATAAATGAACGTCGTCCAGGTAGGGGAAGAATTATACCGCATTCGATATATGACTGCTGGTAGCACGTCTGGTTCGCACTCCAGCGGCACTGATGCGTCTCGACACTGAAGAGCTTGCACCAGTATCGCTGATGGATTCACCACCGGTGGAAGAAGTACTCGCCTCTCCCACCTGGGAGTGTTCATCTTGGTCCCTCGGTTATGACTATCGGGGTCTTTCACCACAGGATTGAACTTGGTGTTAAAGTAGTCGATCAAATGAGCCAACCATGGCAGCATCGAATCCAGGCCATCTCTGCGATATTTAACTATTATCTCCAGCCAGGCCAGGGTACACAGTCTCCAGATGAGACCCATACCGACAAGTATGCAGACATCTCGAAGAATGTAATAAGATGACCCATATTTGCACCCATGGACGGTATCAGCGACGACATTCAAGTCCAAGATATTCGAAGGCAAAGCGGTGAATTCTGCCATAGTGAGGAGCTCCGTCGCATAATATCCGCAGCCAAAGTAAGTGGCAGCCTTCTGGAAGAAGCCATCAGAGCTTATGGGAGGTGAGACACCACCAAACATGGTCACAAACTCCACCGGCACGATGACAGCCAACAACAGTGATATTGCCATCGGGAAGACTACAGTCATCAGCTGACCGAAGCCTGTCACCCACCAGGCGAAGATGAAGAATATACAGTATCCATAGACGCCATTGTAGTTGGCCTGGATGATGAGATACCAAGTAGCTGTGAATATCAAAGTGAACAGGAATGTATCAAACAGATGACATAACGTCTTCGATGCCCAATAGGCGAGGACAGAAGTACCAGCGGAAGCATCTCGCTCAAAGGCCAGGAACTCAAAGCTGTAAACCTGTAAGCAGCCAGCACCGATCATGATGGCGAAGAACATCAAACCCATCATGTTGTTGTTAGCCATCATATCATATCCATTCGTTCGCTGCACTGTCGTACCAATGATAACAGCAGCCAAAAAGTTGAGACAAAGATCGAGGAAAAGCTGGCCGAGTGAAATGAGAGCCACGTTCCGAGATAAGAAGTGCCCCAACTGTTCACCAGCATTGGCGATTTGCCGGTCTTTTAACCGACTGAGATCAGGCAAAACCTGCCGACTATCAAGATGGACTTGTTCTGAGGCGCCTCCATGCATCATCTTAGCGAAGCTCTCACAAGTAACTTCCCCTTGCTCGGCCTTCAACACTCTATAGAGCTCCCTTGCCTCAGACATATCACACTCAATCTCAAACAGCCTTGCCAAGCGATATAACTGCGTAGGAGACAAATCATCATCAGGTTCGGTGTCTAATAGTTCGCACAACCTATCCCTCAATTCCTCCGAGGTCTGAGGGGCTCCACTGCTCTCCGAGTTCGTAGCGCCGAGTTGCCGAACGGAAATCGTCCGCAAGTAGAGAGGTTCCGGTCGATTATCCTGAAGATGCTCAGCCTCGTGCTCTTGATAATCCGTCCAATAATCAAATAGATCTTCCTTCTGGAAGCTCCTATCGACTGAGCCATCGGGTTGATAATGATCAACTGCACCCGAGATGATATCGATGAACCAGTCGGCGACGTTCTCTCCCCTGGGGATGCGAAAGCCATGACTAACGAAGTAGTCCTCAACCTGACTAGTTTTACCAATATACACAGTCTTGCCGCCCTTGCCGAGTAGTAGGCAATGTGTAAACTGTTTAAAGATAGCGTAGCGTGGTTGGTGGATTACACAAACGACAGTGATACCCAAAGTCCTCATTCTTGCCAAGCACTTAGTAACGGCCATACTGGCAGCAGAATCCAAACCAGAGGTCGGCTCATCTAAGAATAATACACGAGGATAAGCCACCAACTCGATACCTATATTAACACGTTTTTTCTGACCACCAGAAATTCCCCTCCTCCCAGGCG